TATGTATATACTGCGACGGATGATAGCTGAAAGCACAAGACAACAGTTTTATTGTGCGAACTCAAAGCATCATGAGCGGATCACTTCTTGATGCACGCACTGAAAACGGTACAAAGAGAACTCGTACATGCAAATATCAAACCTATAGATAGAAAAATGAGCGTAAATCCAAAGGAAAAAGCACCTGAAAAATTAAAAAAGTATGAGAAAGATTCCATGAATAGAATACACACATATAGTTTAGAAGCACCGCAAAGGTGTCTACATTTGGGTACAATAAAAAATGCAAAAAAACGACGCAAAATATAATGTATTTGAGCACCCGATATACAGCGAAATTGTTAGTCACTCAGATAAGAAAACTATGTGTGTTGTAGAGACAATAATTTACCCCAAATTGAAATACATAATATTGTCTCTATATGTGCCACCAAGATATCAAATGGAATCTGAGAAGAAAAGCTGGAAACAGGCTAATCCGAACAAGTAAAGAAATACTCAATACACATAGCCAGCAAATAAACACGGTAATAAATTCGATAGACCAGATATCGGACGTGAAAAAAGGACAATAAATTGGGTTATATACACGAGCATGGCTCCAAAATGGGGGATTCGAATCAACCAACATAGTACTCATTGAATATACGCGACGATATTGCAAAGAGATATTTTGAAAAGTGCACTGTAAAATGACCGGAAATATGCACAAGACGGCACAATCTAGAGGAGCAGAGCAAGGGAGACGCTGACGCACTTACAAACCACCAGCTGTGAATGCCCAAAATGAGATGACACACAGAGTGACTGATGGTTGTGAATTGGGAAGTTGAACATATACAAGTATGTCGACAAGAATTGTGCATAAATAAGCAAGAAGACGTTTATGTTTACAAATAGACACGACGATAGGATTGATCAAGATTACAAAGCATACCTTACTAAGGACCAAGTCTAAATCCATCTTTCCTGACAGTGTATTCATATGCATAAGAATTTCACCGTAGTCCATACTCTCCATGTTCTTGCTCTCTATGTCGAATACGGCCAGTGCCAGAAACAATACGTACGGATTGTTACCTGTATACACGGGGAAAAGCACGAGGAAAAAACAAGTTTTAAACACAGTAAGAGAGATCATGTAGTGTATGTATAGCCACATACTCGTCAATAGCAGTACATTGACCACGCCGAGTTGTAGTTTTAAAAGTACATACGAAATCCCTAAAGACAAACAAGAATACATACGAAATCAGTTGGCCAAAGAGCTCGAAAAGCACTAATATCTTTGAGAGCCCGATGCACAAATAAATGACGAAAGCTTACCGAGATTGATGCGGTTGTCTTGGTATTCTTTCATGGGCATGCTCCAGGTTGTTTCAAATACCTTTACGGCTGCATAGCAAAAAGATGAAACATCCGCTGAGAATTGACACGCTGGTCTCAGTGTAAATGAATATAAATAATGCGGAAGCTTTTATAAGATCGCATAAAATCAGACAAACCATAAGAATACACTGATCAGTTTGACTGATCCAACATAACCAGCAAACTCGTAAAGACATATACAAGGAGTGTACGTATTCTTGTGTGAGGCCCAGTGCACGCGGGCAACCCTTCACCCACTACGTTACTCATGCACTTATCGATGTATAAGTGTACGTACAAACACACACACACACATATATATATACATAAACATAAGTGACGCGTGTATAGAGAGTATAGAAAAAAAAGAGGGTACTCATCCATCACAGCAAACTGACAGTAGAGCCAAACATACATTCTTCAAACGGGAACTGTCGCTTCATATTCAGCAGAATCCAAGAATACGCAAAGATCACGTCCGTGCACTCGTGAGAGGCCAAATGCACGTAGAGTTTAGGCGAGTGGTCCCCAACTAGCTGCATGAGCATCTGGAACTGACGGTTCATCACAGTCTTGTCCTCTGGCAGGAAGAAATCGCCCATGAATTGCATCAACTGGATTGTGCAGTTGGATGCAGGGTAGGTAGGCGCAGGATAGGTGCAGGCATATATATATGAGATAGGTGTGGAATCAACACAGCCTCGTGGCGAATGAAATGGCAAACAAGGTGTATGTATGGATGGAGAGAACATTCTTGTTTGTGTCAAGTCAGGTGTGTACAAAGAACTACCCCCCCAGGCGATGTGATGCCCACGAAGAGTACCTACTGGTGGTAGTGTGTTGGAGTACAGAGTTGCGGTGAAACGCTACGTACGGACCCTGAAGCAGCGAATGGCGCAACTACGGACTAATGCACTGTCACATACAAGGCGCACAAGTTGAGATATTCGTGTCAGAGTGATGTAATACTTGTCTCATTGAGCCGTTTGCATGTGCGCGATCAGCATATATAACGGCGGTCGAACGGGTACAGGCTTGATGCCAACAAATCGGCTTGATAGGACCACACAAAGGTACAGTTGAGTTGCGTTGTAAGATTATAAGGTTGTTTGAAACAGCATATTCAATGCACTACCACCAACATAAGGCACAATAGTACACAGACCAGCACAGGTGTTTTGACGGATGCCTGAATCACTCCAAGCAAGGGTGTACGAATGCTCATGACTACAGAACTTTGCCGCAACTTTGGGAGACAGCGAGACTTTATCTAGAGTACAATAATCCGTGCAGAAGCGAAGTGGCTCACTAACGAAGTCTTTATAAAAATCGCAAACTTCTGTCGATTTGAAACACGCACATACCTTGACATAACACCAAAAGGCATCACTCTCCTCGCCCTGTTGTATGTACAACATCGCAGAGGCGTATTCGTTCATTCCTAAATATGATATCGTAAGAGTATTAAACAAGGGTTAGCATATGGCACCCGGACTATTAGTTCCAGACTGCCGAAGGTACCGACGAAAGTACGCGTTAAGTAGTGAAGAAGGCATCCGCAACAATCGAAAGTGACACGTGCTGACTATCACGCCAAACGCCTGTTTGTATATTACAGTCATCACCGATAGAACTGCTTGTCAGGTCAATGTAGACTACGTAATGAATGCATTCTATCCATTGTTGGATAAGGAGTGTTATCACATGCACGAAAAAATCGATTAGGTAACATATGAGGACAAGGAACACAACAAGCGTGAGCGTGCACATACAATTAAATAACCTTGAGCACGATCGTGTATAGATATGTAAACTCAAAACCATAAACAAACATCCCAAACACCAACAAAGACAAACCCTCTCCGAGTGGCACCCACACTCACCGAGAAGAGGGAATCTCAGTGCGCATTATGAATAACAGCTGTGCGTGTACGCACTATAAAAATACACACTTCATTTGCGATTTGACTCATATACTCTTGTATTTGAATAACCTTTAAAAGAGAACTAGACAATAAAAGCCAATGTGTCTATAGTAAGTAATACCTCTGTGCACCTGATTACTTTCAGTAAATATAGCCGGAAGACATACACTTCACACGCGACACATGCATATATTCGGATATATAATATTCTAGTTCGAACCTACGTACATTGCACCCATAAGCCACACATATATGCAGATGTGGTGCACTGGGCGCACCTATTAATCAATTCCCAATGGAAACTGTGCATGCCAAGTGGCCAACACAACGTTAGAAAAATACTGACTATATACATGTGGCATATGTTGCTGTACCCGATTAGTGCATGTCGTCTGCTACGGACTCTGACACACACACCATAGTGCTTTGTAGATATGTATAAGTGCACACGCGATATATTGTCGTCGTGAAGGACTTATTCACCTACAAGAGAGTGGACTCGAAGAGGAAGGTTTACATCAAAGTACCTTGAATATACGGCAACTTCGGGTTGAATATCACACTGTATACACCGAGGATGTTCCGCAGTTTCTGCAGATTGATGGGCAGCGGTTCGTCCGAGTCCAATGTATCGTTTGGATCACCTGTGATTTGGGAACACACACCATCGTTAACTTTATACTCTTTCTGCCACAGGCAACTTCAGAATTTCAAGCAGAGACGATGGTTTAAAAAGTCTATGGCTGGAGTTCGTACACAGCACGACATGTGAGGAATACGGTCTCTTGTGTGGGTGTGAGATGTGATATTGGGAAAAGCTGATAGCTTGCAAGTTCAGACTCTGCCACACATAGAAAGCCAATATGTGAGGAGATCGCACTGTCATATAGAACGATTTGCATACATGTAGAAGCAAAGAGCTTGCAGGCCAAAAACAATGTAGTTACTATGTATATGTCATTCCGTGTCCATCAGTGACGCCGAGAGTGTAAACATATCGTCTCTAAACACGACGGCTTTCTAGTATATTGATGTACCCACGCAGACGCTACTTTACGCTGTCTACTGACAGTGGTGTATATATATGTAGACGGAACGAAGGCATTGTGAGGGCTTGTGTCCTTCAAGCGTCACCTGGGAGAATGGGAATAGTACGGTCCTTGCAACAGAAATATACCCCATCTCCCAAACCTAATACCAATCCAAACGAACAGTACAACTAGGATACTATCGTACGAACATGAGCCGCATCAACGTACCATAGAAGGGCAACTCCCTGTCGGTTCTGATAACGTCTTTGTCTATTTGTTCCATGGACTCCGCTTCTTCGGGGGTGAGCTCCATTGCATTCAGTAGGTCCTATTTTAAAATAATAATGATATGAATACAACCAGATTAAATTCCAATTGTACGCCAAACGCTTTATAGCAACTACACACTACAACACGTAAAAGCAGTATACACAGCAAAAAGGAGTGTTGCATATATCACTAACTCATACAGTATTTGCGAATGGGATAAAACCAAAATTTATCACTCATAGCAAAATCTTGCGAGTTTTAGCTGACTAACAGGGGAGAACATATAATCTCACAGTGGTCCATGGTACGGTGAAAGGATTTACAGACAAAACACAAACACAAAATACAGGCATCGGATACAACGAACCCCATTCCAAGCAATACACAAAGGCACCAAAGGTGCAATCCAAGCAGCTGGCGATTCGCATAGATAGATGGCAAAGAGCGGCAAACCCAAAACCCTATTAACCTACGGTCTACTAGTGCAGTCGACACATCTCAAAGTGTGTAAATCGCTGTAGCAGGCGCATGATTGTAATCGCAAACAGATAATCGTACACCGGCAAGGGCAACATACACATGTATGAACAGATCAAGGCGAACCAATTGACACAAAAGCGAATATCGCCCAACATTGATCGATTCATCAGAACCTCGAGTCTCTTTTGTTCACAACTGATCTTTTACTTTACCACCACTCTCTCCGCGAAACTCTATTGCGAGGCACGGTGATGCAACAGTCTCGTATTATTGCGTGACCTCCTACCGCCTCTGGGTAGTACATCAACAAGCCATACTGATAGCGATACAATTGTTCATATAGTGTGGGGGTTCAGGGTTCTGCTTAGGGTGCGCCAGCACATACCAGTAGCTCGTAATACTGTCTCCTGTTCTTCCTCGACTCGTTTTCTCTGTCTTCGTATGTCGAACTCCACCGGTAAACGCCTAGTAGGAACTCCCACATACTACGCCTCACAATGTCATTGGCACACCCGCCCGTGAATACTCGACTCCTGGACGTACCATACGGTATGAGAAGCAAAAGTGCACTACATCAGAACGACAATATAAAAACACACGCACGGAAATTGCTACTTATAAGCAGCTAGATACAAGATTCTTGATCGAATATTACAGTGTGAGATTGAAAATCTATTGAAAGCACCAAAACATTGCAACAAAGGCATCAGTACGACATTATTGGCAGCCATGTATGGATTTCAGGCGCAAATTATATTATTGACAAATGAGTGTTTTACGTCAGGAATGAAGCAAACTTCCAACACTGAAAACTTTGTAGAACTCTGACTCAATAATGGCATGCTATAGTACTTCTTCAACCGCTAGTTATATCACAACATGCGGACGAGGGAAACGTGGCAATGCATCGTATTATACAAAAACCCCTAATACATACACATATACCGATATTAAGATTTATAGAAATGACCGGTCTCGTAGCATATCACAATTACTTTACTGAGCGATCGCCATAAGTTAAACACATAAGCACGTATGAATACGTGCCCATACTACAACGAGTACATGTACTTGGGTGTTCAGCTCAGATGAATACACGCTTGGTGGCTCTATAGCCATACCCACCTGACGAACTCGGGAGATATAATTTGGCCCTCTTCATTGAAGCACTCGTACCATTCCTACACAAGCGTTGATTTTTTTATCAGAGGATTAGTGTTGATAGCATTTTTTACTTGAATTCGTAAGTTTGCATAATTATACACATATACCAGCACAGTGATTTGTGATGTTGCTGACAGTTGCCGGTGTGGAAGTACATACTGATCATATGCGGAAGTGACACTCAGTCATTTGCAATGCAATCCCTATTTTTTGTGCCACACTTTGCAACACATACGAATGGATGTATCCGAAACCTTCACAGAACACAGAGCAGAATCTGACCAATGCCATATAAATATATGTACTGAGGATACGTGCCGCTGAACCACGAAAACTCTACAGTTAAAAGCTTAGTAAAAGGTGTTCTAGCAAAACTGCCATACACAGCCGAGGCCGTCCATGTGAGATATACAGTTCACGGGCAGAGAACGATGCGAATGAATACAATTGTATTGTTCAATCAAAGAAAATTCGTCAACCTGCACAGGAAGAGACCTGTGCTCACAAACAAGCATATATTAATATACGTATACAACGTAGCATGCACATGCATATATAGGGATGCAACCCATGACATGGATAGGTATTTGCCAGCGCAAATGACCGAGGATTCGAATTCACATATCGTTTCGGTGCATCTAACATCCCGCAGATAGTACATATATGCGATCAGATCGTACCCCATCAGAGCTTCATACACCCTCCTGTGAATACGCGGGCACAAAGGCATAGTACCACACACACAGCACTGAGCACACCTCTTCATTAATTGGATCTTTTCTCGCTACCAGAGGCACATCCGCAGTCGTCAAAGACGGCGTCGACGCCAAAACGTTCTTTTGTTGTGCTGTGTGCGCGGGTGTGTATATACAATTTGTTAGTATCGAAATAAATATACCAGGGTTTACATTCACGTACTTGTAACGGACTGCTCGTTCCCATACAATCGATTTGATAACAGAAGAATGTTTATCACATGCAAAAATATAACCAGATACATACATAACTATACATTTGTGTATATACATAAAATATACATATATATATATATATATATATATACACACACACACACACACATATATATATATACTATATACATACATACATACGCGCGCACACACACACACACATATATATACACAAGAAAATAAACCAATTTTGATGTACCTCAAGCGTCGGAGCAGTGCGACTCTCAGTCGACAATAGCACCACTTTCTTACAATAAATCAGCATACCAAGATACGAGTCATCATTTTCAGAAGCTGCCGGGGTGTTTTTCTTCACAGCATTCGCTCTGCTTGCAATATAGTTGTCCGTTGTACTTCGCGCGTATGTAACTGCTGTAGATGCCACGGAACCAGCCATCTTCAGCGCGGTTCTGCCTGTTATTGCGTACGTACACGTACAAACACATGCACAACGAGTCAGTCGAATCGGAGCATGACACTAAAGCCTTGACGATAGTTTATAGAGCTATATAGAATGTACTCAGACGCACTTTTGTAAATGCATATCTATTTATATACTATATATATATACACACACAATATATATATATACATATACGCACACACACACACACACACACATTATATATATATATATATATATATATATTTGTATGTATGTATATACATATACATATACATACATATACATACACACACACACGCACACACACACGCACGCACACACACACACACACACACACATTCAAACACGCGCAAAAAAACGAGTGCACATGTATTGAACAGCTTCCTTTATATGCGGGTGTGTGTATACACATGGGTCATATGGCGATACATATGTGCACATACATAAATGGTAGCAGAGTCATCCTCCTTCATTCGGGCATCTATGGGTATGAGGTATAATAGTGTAAATGACTAAATATTCGACACATACCATAATAAGTACCAACACCGGCTAATGTGGCTACCACTGGGCTTCTAGGGGCAGGTGCAGGTACAACTTGAGTTGGTAGACTGGCGTTAGCGCCATCAACTGCCGATTCCGAATGAATATTCGTCCAACTATTTAAATCGTTGTCATATACATTCCTGTTGAGAACATTGCTGTTTGTAACACCCGCTATATTTATATCCCCCATCTGAACTGTTACGTCCGATGTCAAACTCTTTGAGGCTGGCGGATCCGTCTTCGGTCTTCCGGGAGGTCGTTCTTCGGCGTTACTTGTACTATCGTTGCTGATGGTCTGCCTGTTGATATATGCGCCAGTGTTCGTATCTTCGACTGTGCTTGCGTTTGTATCAGTAGACAGCACTGTGAAAGGGTTCTCAACGTCGTTTTTCATACCGGCATTCTCTGGAACACTGTTTCCATTCATCTTTTTGAAGATATTATTGCTGTTTATGTGACAGTGCAACACAGTGATATTATATATTATATTTGTATGTAAACGAACTCTTACTACAGTGGTCAGTAGACTGCATACACACTCTTTAAATTCAAAAGTATTTATGTATATATGATATTCTTTATATATCACCACACAGTATTTTTACTGATACTCAGCACAACACTATGAGTCATAGTATCGACAAGTTTTACTAATCTGATTGGGTTTAAGATTGCTCTCGGGGCTCCACAAGGGTTTATGACTCATCGGTTTGTGAAAAGTCTGATTGCAGTCGTGCCTTGCGGAGTATAGTAGGAAGATTTCAAGTTAGCACTACTACTACTACTAGTAGGAGTGTAGAGTATTGTAGAGGACAGTCGGAACTAGGAACTCAGGAATGATACATGTAATCAAACCAGTGTTCTGTGTTCTGCGACTCAAATTTCGCATGTTTGTTAGAGGAATTGAAAAGGTTCAATTTATCATATAACTTGTTGGCGGCTGCAGACGCAGTGTATACCACTTGCCTTTGTACCAAGATACATCAACCTTCTGTTTACTAGTATGTGCGGTATGTTCAGCCCAGGACGTACATTCTTTTTTACGTTGGATAAATGTGATCGACAACTATGTGTACAGTGTATCTCCTTCGCTCGGGATACATTTTATATTGCCAAATGTACAATGCATACTAATTTTCAACACAAGCAGAACAAAACAATGTAATGCATGTACCAATCCATAAATGTATGGTACCTGAATTTAGACAAACACACTTACAGCTATGATCTGAAACGTATGGAGGCAAACAAATAGTGAAATGTAGCAGATCTTATTATATATCTGATAAACATTGCTAACAGTACAAGACGAGACTGTTATTTGTTTACGGGGTTTTCGACAGTGCTGGTGGTCCGCGACAGATATGAAAACTTTTGCAAAACGTCCTCCACTTGTTGACTCATAAATATTCCAGAGCCAAACCATCGTATGCATGTACAAATGTCGAAGGTAGTACGGCAAGCAAACCTCCATTTCATATTTGCTCGCTTTATTATCTATAAAAGGAAGAATGGCTTTACTATCTATAAAAAGAAGAATGTAACTTTGTTTCGAATTTCTACTGACTGTCGTATACACTTGGAGATATATCCTTATTCTGTGGTGGTAATTCTAGTGCCTGCATACTCTTTTTTAGCACATATCTCGTTAGCATACTATTTGAGATGAATGTAATATACCACTGCTGTTCGTCAAGTATGTTGAATAGAAGTGAAGACGGTAAATACGATCACTTCGCCCTCTTATTATGGTTTTTGACAATACCACAGTCAATCGCGCCTACATGTGCTTCACAGTTTCTAATCTGACTAATAGTTTTGATCATCGCCAGTGCCAAAAACAAACGATCTTACCACCTTATGTACCCTCTGAGTCTTTATGTCTCTTTCTTCTTCGACCACTGAAGGGGAATCTTCGATTATCATTGTCAGTCATTTTGGCTATGCATGTCTCGTGATCTGTCTTTTTTGTTTTTGGGTAACAGACCCACTTTGTATAATATAGAAGGGAAATCTCTAGAGTATGCTGTGGACCGGCGCGCGGAGTGGCGACATAGCTGATTATTCCTCAAACGTGTAAGACTATATTTTGGTTTGCTATTGTCGCAGAAAAAAAGAGGCGGACAGACAGTTCATGTTTTGCGATTTATTGTTGTTTTGATTTTTGTTTTGTTTAAAAACAAAAAACAAACAAACAAAACAACAAACAAAATAAACGTTTTTTATTTTCATCCGTTTGACGTACGAAAACGAAGTATATATATATTATGAAAATGCGTAAATACTAAATACATATGACGATTTTTTCATTCTCTACCTTAAGTCAAATAGACCTTCTTTTTGACTTATGGTGAAATATACAACAAAACAAAATATTGTTGTATATTTCTTGGATTGAATCTGGCATAATTTGGGAATGGCAAAACACTCGAAATCGTGAAATCAGAAAATTAGTCACTTTCCATAATTTCCTGAAAATTTAGAATAACTTGTCAAAATTATAGATCGTGCGAAGAAATGTCGAAATTAGTTACCGGAGTAAGGTATTTTATCTATTTCATATTTTGTTCCCCAATATTTTCTGAAGTTGGCAAATCCGGCCTAAATATTTTAGGACTTACTCCAGAAATCTCAATAAAACCTTCACGGAACACTACCGCCATTGGGAGGGCTCGGGGTTAATATGTACCAATCCAAAAGTGGCATCACTTTTTCGGCTCTATTTAGAAATGCGTATTCGTGCATTTGCCAACTGAAAGTATCAAAATACTGAGCGAATATTCAACAATATCTCAAATACAATCCCATATGAATTTCTAAATTCTCATGAAATATAGGGCTCCAATATTTCATAGGAAATATACCAAAATATACCTAATATTTATTATGGCTGTATTTTCTCAATATTTCTTTAAGTTGGCATATCCGGCCTTACTAATTTAGCCTTCAAATTGTGAAATTGAACACGAACTTCATTTAGTTTTGTTTATTTTTGAAAAGTATCAATAAAAAAACAATATTCTTTTAAAGCGATAGGTAGATCAAACCAGCTCTTCCAGCTCTTTCAAAATAGATTCAAACTTATTATTTCTATAAAAATATAAAGTAAAAATATAAAACACCGCAGACGTCGGTGTGAAACTAAAAGCTCTGAAGTGAGGGGGATAATTTTTTTTTTTTGGGTTTTCGTACCCTTATTTGTTTTGCGAAAGCCACTGCAACTTAAATTTTGGTTCACGTTTGGGTCCAGATTTCCAATTTCTTTTGTCAATTTAAAAGGATATGTGCGAAAGCGCACTGTAACTTCAATTTTGGTTCACATTTGGGTCCAGATTTCCAATTTCTTTTTGTTGTTGTTGGGGGGGGGGGGAAAGCCCCCGATAACCATATCTCTTCTCCTGCTGGTCTCACATCGTGTTGCTTGCATAGGGCCTTTCTATATTCATGTACAGAGTCTCAAATGGGCATAAAAAGCTTCACTTTATTCCTTATTTGGAATAAATAAAGTTCTGGGGGACCTAATAGCTAAAGCTTTTAGTGATAAAAGTCGATATTGTTGCCTCGTTGAAGCGTGGTCACGTGCTCTTGCGTGAAGTTGTGGGACGTCGGTGTGACGAAATCAATTTAAAAAAATAAGTCGCAGTCTCACGGATGCTACTGCTGCTTGTGAAGTCCTGTGGAGCATGGTGAAGGAGAATATCTGGCTTAGGGCCCTTTAGGCTACGAGTTTATTCTGTAGACGCTGTATAGTTTTAGTTTATAAAGTAGATTCTGATTGATACCTGAGAAGGAATTTGAGAACCGAATCTCGTACCCGGACTTAACCGTAGTTGAGGACAGAACTGTTTCGTCTACGCTTCAGAGTTCAAACCAGAAGACGGTACTTACTGTTGCATACCGCATATCTCCACTTACAAGCTTTGCATTACAGATAACAGAAACGCCGACTATGATCGTAAACGCTCTTCTAAAAGCAATTATCAAAACATTGGCAGATTGCTGCGTATGCTATAATTTGCTCAGCATATATAGGCCTCATGTTTACTTGTTCATGGCTGAAAAAGAGAATCATGATCTCACTCGCATTTAGATAGCTGAGACAGCAAAGGTAAGTGAAGTCATACAAACTAAAAATATCACGATGGAATTTGCACCACTGCGAGCATAATCGATAGAATACATATTTATATATAGCCAGACAGTCCCAGACTGCCGGCATTGATTAATTTAAAAAAAAAAGCAGAAAATTAGAAATACCATTTTTGGGTTTATATTTAAAAAAAAACTATGTATCACAAGGCACGCGCGGGGAAGGACAGATCATAGCCTCCTAAAATCACCAGTAAAAAACTAAAAGACGAATGATTTATATACAAAGAAACTTTGGAAAAGTCTGTTTTAGGATCGATTACACTCCCGGTTTTTCATTTTTGCTGTATGCTGTTTCCTGTCAATTTAGAGGGTTATGGTTTCCTACTTTCGCCTTCCGGTTTGCGGTTTGATTTCATAGCTATATTTTGTTTTTGTTTCCAAAAATAAATAAACCAAAAAAAATACACAAAGACAATAAAACTGAGATTATCAGATAAAAAATCCGAATATTTATCCTTCTCATCAGTACTGAATATTTATTTAACCTTCTGACTTCTGAAGTGGCTACATATGTGAATCATAGCGTACTGAAAATGAAACAATATATTGGTTTTGTTATTTTTTAATAAAAAACAAAGAAATAAAATAAAATGCCGATGTTCTTGTCCCATTTATTGGGTCTGATCAGAAATCTCTCTTCGTGGCCTAGGGTCCAAAAAGGCAAAAATGGAGCGTGCAGTTGCCGTTTTCAGTGCACCGTCTATTTTATTATCTCTAAATACCTATTTATTAGTAATTTAGACCGCACTCTCCCTCTCAGAGAGGTAGGTGTTCGCAGTTCGCTCTCTCTCTCTCTCGCTAGTAGTAGGTATTCGTATACGTGGCATTGTACAAAATATAAGGTTATGACTCGATGGATGGTATATTTGATTTGAAGCGTTGCAATAACTATCAAACATACTTAAATTTGGTCAGAAGATAGATTGACCGTTGCCATGCGTGTCACTAACATAGCGACCAATAGGTTTGCTACCATTGTGGCGGTTGCTGGTGCACTTATGATCATCTACTTCGTCAGGTATGTCTAATAATAACTTATGATATTTCTTAGCGTTAAATTATAGAAGAAAAGATATCCAGATATTTCGCTACTATGATACAAAACGCAGCAGAAGCGGTTTCCCTCCTGTATGGTATTTTGCCTCGAGTATAGCATTATGTATGGGTGTTCAATCGTTTATCACTCGTACACATATAACTTCCGGATAGAGGTATTTCCAAACAACAAAGTGATAGTATTATGTTTTAGCATCCAATCATATATCAGTCGCATTTCTATTCCTACTGCCTGAAAGTATCCATGCAGCAAAGTGGCAGTTCTATAAATCATATTAATACGCGTTGGAGTATATTGCTAAATAGAGACGTGTACGTAGGATTATAAATTCGCATC